TTCCCTCCCTAATGCAAGAGAACTGACTTGAGGAACTCGGGAACTGTTCTGGAGCAAGAGAGAGCCGTGGTTGACTCAACACCATTAGATCATGTGCGGCACACTCTCTGTCCAACACACATGCACGTACCTGCTGCTTTGTTCTCGGCCTACAACATCTGTAGAACTGTTTGCACGCTTGGGAAAAAATGCTGATGTTTGCTCTAAGACTGACACCTCCTCGGGTACACGGGATTTCATTTCAGCGTGGTATTGCTTTTGAAGTTCAGCTTTTATGCTGTAAAAGGCTCCTGAACTAAACTACTGCCCCAAAACATCAGCGCCTTTGCTTTAGGGACTTGAAAATTTTTACTGGAGAATCTCTAAAATAACTCTTGAATATGGGGTAAGAGAACACATGACTTCAGTACTCCATCGGAAAACAACTGAACCCTCAGTCCTCGGGCAAATATTTTCGAAGAATATTTATCCAGTGGCTTTGTACCAAGAAGAATAAACCCATTAAACCCATCTTGCAATCTGACCACCACTGCCAGTGAATAAACTCAGAATCTCTCTGCTACACCTACTGTAGGACAGATCCTATTAACAAATAAAGATTACTACTGCCAGGAGGCAGGACTCTAGGACAAGACACACATCCCAGCTCTACTCCTGCAGCCTTTCAGGTGGCCATAAAGCACAGCACAGCAACCCCTGGGCAGCACCTAAAAGCCCACAGCCCGCCTCCACTGCGCTTTTCCACTTGCAGCAATTTTGGTCCTTTGATTGAGCTGCACACTTGACCTGGCTAAACCTTCCCCAGCTGAGCGAGCTGCGTGTTGTGGCAGCGCCGGGTTGTGAAATACAGTGGGAGGCCTCCTGTGCTCATTTGTGTGTCAGTACCCAGAGTGCTGCTCCTGGCTTCCAGCTCCTTCATAGAAGTGCTGCTGGGACTGGAACCGTGGGAACGGGGCGCTGCTGCCGTGTGGGTGTGCAGGGACAGCTCCCCCTCCCCGGGCCCTGCTCACACACGGCTCTGCCGTGTCTGGCACCGGCCAGGGAAGCTCCACGTGCCGGCCAACGGCGCTCGGGGCAGTGCTGGGAGAAGGGGCTTCAAAAGACACAGAGTCAAACCCACCCTCCTGCTCCGGCAACAGCAGCCAGCAGAGCCTTCGGGGCTGTGTCTGAACTAATTCAGGGCGAGGGCAGCAGCCTGGTGTTAAGCCAGCACAGAGCTGTCTGTCACACGGGAGGGACACACCAAGGCCAGATCTACCCCACAACAACACACTCACCAAGCACCAGCTACTGAGCTCAACAGAAAGGCTTTGGCACTGACGGGGAATTTCTAGGACCCTGTTTTGCAACCCTGTCAAGTTATTCACATTTTAGATTTCTAGAAATACCCCAGAATGGAGTGGTTGTGCTCCATCCACCAGTAGTGGTGGATGAAATGAGAGACAGGTAGGGAGACAGGACACCCACACGAGTAAAAGTCACATTGGTGCAGGGAGGCTCTGAAGGACCAGAGAGAAAGCAGAGCAGAACACCTGCATGAGCATGCAAGAAGGTGGAAAACCAGTGAAGGACACAAAATAAGCTAAATGGAGAAATTATCATGTGGCTCAAGACAAGAAAGAGCTCTGGGAAGTGGCAGGAAGGTGAAAGACCTTATGGGAGGTCAATCACTCATCCAAGCATGAATAGGGAGGATATAAAAATCAAAATCTTAGAAGAAGGTAAAGAAAGTGATTGAGGCCTCTGCGGTTCCTGCTGTAGTGGGGACTCCAGTTGTCACAACTCCCTCCAGTTTTTGGTTAAGACCCTTTGCTGACTTCACACAGATCCAGACAAAAGCTTCTGCAAGTGGCAAGACCAGGCACCAGGAGTTGTTCAACCCACCCGGCTGACCGAGAGACGAGATATCGACATCCACACATCCCTCTCCCAGTACAGATGGATGGATATGCACAGCAGATCCTTGATGCATACAGAAATATGCATCGGGAATGAAATATCTAGGAAAAGCTACGCTTGTAGCAAAGCTTTAAAACCACACCAAGAAAAAAGGGGAAAAAAAAAAGAGAGAGAGGGAGAGGAAAAAAGGCAGTTTTGCCACTACGCTGAATCTGCAACAGGGGCTTGTGCCAACCCAGCTCCTCCATTTAAGTCAGACCCTTAAAAGGCAGAGCTGTGCTGGCAGAAATCTACAGACCTCATCACAGAAACCTCATGAAGACACATGAAAAGGTCAAAGAACTCACTGCTGCTTGAACAGCCATAAAAATGGTCATATGCATCCCATGCTACCAAAATCCTACCAGAGCCCCAGGGAGACACAGCACACAAAGCAACGTGTCTACACACAGAGAAAGGGAGAAATTTAAAAAACTGACAAAAAGGCCACTCCTGAGAGCAGAAACCCCAAAATCTGACACAGCAGCTTATGGCACACCATGCACACCAACACCTCTGTATAAAACAGAACAAAGCAAAGATCTACATCAAAAAGGAAGCCCACCACAAAGACACATGTGATTCACCCTTTCATCCCCGGAGACAGCCAGACCCAGAGCCCCAGAGCCTCACCAAGCCCACAGGAATTCACACAGACACACTGAATGGGACCATCCTGTCATTTCCTCACTCAGCACCTCAACTTTACTCTGTTCCTTGCCCCTGGCCACAGCCTCCCAGTCTTGGAGCCTGATTAAATCTCTCCGTAATTACCCGCACGCACTGCTACAACACAAATGACCTTAGCATATGATATCCGTTGGCTGAGCCCAATGGAAAAAGACTTCAGGAAAAGGAAGGATAAGCGTACAGAACTCTGCCAGCGCTGTCAGGGTCTCCTCAGGACTGCACTGAAATAATAGGAGCCCTGAGGCCAGCTCAGAAGCCTTGAAACTTAAGCCCAGTTCTGCCCAGTATGTGATAAAATGTTCTGTTTTCTGTATCCCATCATCTGAGCACACACTTACCCCTCTGTTCTTCCCCACCGGACTCTCTGCACCTTCCAAATAAACCTATGCAGGAGACTTAACATTTTATGATGATGGATTTCTGGCAAAATTTTCCAAGAAAGAGATGGCCACCACTTCCTTACAGAATTTTTGGCATTCGCTACCAGGTGTGTTGAACTCCCTCTGCAAGGAGTGCTGCACTCGAGGGTGGGAGAAGGGTGCTTCTCTTATTCTGAACTGGGATCTATGAAAAGATCACCAAAAAAACTGAGGCAAAGCCAAGATTTAATAATCTTTTTCTTGTTCTCCACCTTCAACCTCACCTGGGATGCTGGATAAACCACACAACTGAAGAGAACACCCAAAAAGCCTTGTGAAAAAGGAAAGCACTCCACTACTAACATTCATTTCTGGAAACGACCACGCCAGGGACACAGGACCCTTCGGGAGCAAGAGTGTGGAAATTTTTTAATTCTGCTTCCCAAATGAAGCACACCCTAGAAAATTCCTTTTCCAACATGAAAAATGTCTCCACTTGGAGAGCCATGTTCTCCTCTCTCATCCATGTTCATCTGTCCCACCATTCCATCTCGGCACATGACTGACAGAGAATAGACAAGCCATTAAAAACACATCCACCTCCAACCACGGGGATAATGTGCCTCATTACAGCCCAGCTTTGTCACGGCGTCCTGACACTCCGGGGAGGAAAAGGAGGGGTGAGGACAACGACTGAGCCGGGGGCAGGAGAGAAACTGGGACTGGAGGAGTGGGACTCTGCTCCTTAATCCAGTGCAATGGGCTCTCCAGGCCTCCTAGGCTGGCTGTGGAATTTTAAAAATCCTTGCGTTTGCCTGGGTATTTTTGTTACATATTTTTAGAAACAAAAACTCTGCTTCAGTCAGAGCGTACGTCTGCCCCTTTAAACAGGTATTTGGTAAGGTAATTCAGAATTCTACTGAACATTCGAGGTGGGCTTTAAACACCGCTTCTCTTTTCGAGGCTTGTGCATCGCCCTTCCACTCCACACACAGACACCCAGAGCCGAGTTGGGGAAGCTCTGGCAGCGGGGCAGAACCCAAGCAGCAATCCTGCAGCAGGAGTTTGCTTTCCCCTCGCACGGGGGAAGGAGCGGGAGGGAGCTGCTCATCCCCAGCCGGTTGCACCATCGCCAGGAGCCAGACAGACAGCCCGGTGTCTGTGAGTCCTCAAGGCCTGTGGCACTGCTGCCCGTGGAGCAGGACCGCTGCCAGATGCCAAGGCAGCCTCCCACCCACACACCAGGGATTCTGGGATTTAAAGGCAGCTCAGACTGAAAGAAAAACAAGAGACACCTAAAAAAAATGTGCTTTAGCTGTCTGGCTCAGCACGGCACGGCAGAGCTTGGGGAGCTGCTGCAGCTGGCCCTGGACAGAGCCATTTGTGGATGCATGCATAATCCAATATACAAAAGCCAGGCTGGTGGGGAAATTCAGGCTCCACGGGGATACTCTAAAACCAGGGACTTCTCCATTCACGTTCCACACACTTAATATGAAAACCAGTGACCTGCATTACTGTCACAATTATTTTCTCGACAGCCACATTTCATTTCCATACGAGCGTTTAGAGCACTGAGCCCCCACCTCCCTCCCTGGCGACACGCAATCGATCAGAAAAGTGAATGTACTTGTGTCTGGAGCCATCAGTACCCGCTCCTTTTTTCTGGCTTCTTCCTTGCCTTGACCCCTGAATGAAGCCCTTGAGACCCAAAAATCACGTACTTCCAGATGAAGTCTGGGGCAGTGTGGTGGGCTTCCAAGATCAGGGTCCACGTACAGTAAAATATACAAACACACATATGGAATTTAAACAAACTCCGACCACCGTGTACAGAACACAACCGGAGAAATAAAGGTGCCATCTCGAGCACCGCACATGCAGGGAGAATGGAGAACACGATTAAAATTGCTAAATGACTCCACGGAAAAGCAGCTGGTAACAAATTGGGTATATCGGTGAACGTTACCGAAATTCCCCCCAGCCCCCTTTAAAACTGCAGGCATCACTTACCCGGGGGGCTTTCCTCTTGTATTTGTTGTTATAGTCAAATTTTTCTTTCATTTCATCTAAGAGCTGGCCCAGTCTAGCTTTCTCCTCTTTCCCAGTATAATCCTGGCTGAGGAGGATATAGGATCTCCAGTTTGCAGAGTCAAAGCCCCAGTGGCAAGTCCTGTTTTCCAGAGATTTGTGAGAGTGGACCACAAATTTGTGAGGTGGGTACATGAGCCTGCAGTCCAAGCACTGGATGCAGGCTGCGCTGGGGTTACTGTAAAGCTCTGGCACCAGGAGTCCCTTACACTTCCCAAAGCACTCATGATACACCTTGAAGCTCTTCTCCGTGAGCTCCAGCTCAATTGTGCTCGAGAATTCCTTCTTGCAGTGGGGAGGATAGGTGCCACCATAAAGCAAGGCGTTACAAAGCCTCTCAGCGTCAGTTTTCGTGATGAGCCCGCAGGAAGGAGCGGAGAAGGGCAGGATGCCCATGACTTTGAGGATTTCCAGCTGGTCAGCAGTGCATCTGGAGCAGTAAATATGCAGCTCATCACACACCGAATTAATCTGCTGCAGGGAGAAGTCCCTGAGCACCGAGTTCAGGATCTGGGGCAAGCAAAGCCGCTTCTCTCCACCCACCACGAAGCAGGAGATGGTTTCCCCTTCCAGGATGGTCTCGCACCTCTCTGTGGATCTGTCCGAGGGCATGAAGAAGGGACCGGGCATGACCGGAGGAGGCTGGATTGGGGGCAGATGCAGTACAGGTTCCGCGGGGTCTTTGCCATTGTCTTTCTTGTACATCTCCTGTGCCCATCGTGCTGAGAAAGCAGCAGGGCCACCCAGGGAGCTCATAGAGCTCAGATGAAACTGTTCCAAGGTCTTCTGCAGTCCTGGATGAGGCTGGAAGCTGCTTCTACTTACAGTCTCCATTTTTTAGTTTCTATTCCCAAAACAAACAACAAAAATCCCCAGTTATCTTCCACCCTGGTACAAATCCACTTAAGGGATTTTTTTAAGGAAAAAAATATGAACAAAATAAAACAAACCCACCCTTGTTTTTTTTTTCTCCTTCCCACTCAGCAATCCACTAACGGAGAGGAAATAAATCCTTTTGTATGCGTGTCTCTCTCTTCTTTCTTTCCTCTTGGTTCGTTACAATTTCAAACCCTCCAAGTCTCCAAGCTGCCCCGATGGAGCAGAGAATCACGGCAAAAAGAGGTCTTCATCCGAGCACTCACCCCCTCAGCCAGCCCCCAGGCAAACCGATCCCTCCTCCCACACCTCCGACACTCACACACTCACTCACACACACACACCACCCACGGAAACACAAAAAGTCTGTGCCACGCTCCGAGCACCCGGGGCTCAAATATGTTCTGGCGGCTGCTGCTTCTCTGCAGTGATCCCCCTTCTGTCCATATCCACCGGAGGAAGGCGCGGGGGAGGAAAGCAGAAAGCAGGAGGCGGCAGAAGGCTCGGTCTGCGCGAGAACAACGCAGGAGGAAAGGCCCCGCTCTCCGGCGCTGCCGCGGGGGCTCCGCACGGGCGATGAGCGGCTCCGCTGCCCCTCGGGGTCCCTCTGCTCGGCCGGGGACGGCTCCTCGTCCCTGGGGTCGCCTCCCTGCCCCTAGTGCTGCCGGTGCTGTCGGCGTGCCGTGGGGAGCCGCGGGGAGAGCGCGCACATCCTCGCCGCTCCTCTCGCCAGCAGTGACTGAGAGTGCCTGCGAGCTGAGCTAATGCAGGCGGGCTCAGCCTCCCGCCCTGCGCCTCCCCCCCTCTGTTTGTTGGTGTCTGCCTCAGTCATTGAATCCCGGCCAAGAATGTGACCAACTCCCCAGGCCGGGCTCTTCCAGGAACAGCGCCCGCCTCCCCCCTCGCTCTGCGCCGACACCAGCCGGGATGTGCCGAGCCGAGCCGAGCCGGGACGTGCCGAGTCCCGCCGAGCCGAGCCGAGCTCAGCCGTGCCGAGCCGAGCCGAGCTCAGCCGTGCCGGGCAGAGCCGAGCTCAGCCGAGCGGAACCGAGCAAAGCCGAATCGAACCGAGCCGAACCGAGCCGAGCCCTATCGAGTTTAGCCGAACCGAGCTAAGGCCTGCCGAACTTAGCCGAGCCGAGCCGAACTTAGCCGAGCCGGGCCCAGCCGAGCCGCTGCACGGGCGGGCGCGCGGCGCGGCCCCGGCGGCGGCGCCGGCGAGGGAGGGAGGAGGAGGGAGGGAGGATAAACTGCTGGGTTCACGGACCGCCGCGCCGCCAAGGAGGGCCGGGAGGGCGACGGCTTTTCCTCTCGCCGCTGGATCTCTGGCAGCGGGGAAATGGAGCGGCGCTCGCACGGGCACGGAGCGTGTGTGTGAGCCCTGCCAGAGCCCTGCCAGAGCCCTGCCCGCTCCGCTGCGGGCACACGCCCCGCGCACCCCGCGATCGCGGGCGGCAGAGCGCGATGGACGGGCGAGAACTGCGCGGGCCGGGAGCGCCGGGGCCGCCGAGCCCACCCAGCGCTGCGGGCACAGCGATCCACGCACGTGTGCTTCCCTGGGCTCGGCACGCGTGTGCCCCCCGCTCTCTCACACACATGTGCCCCCCGCTCACACACACATGTGCCCCCTGCTCTCTCACACACACGTGCCCCCCGCTCTCACACACGTGTGCCCCCCGCTCACACATGTGCCCCCCGCTCTCACACACGTGTGCCCCCCGCTCTCACACACGTCACACGCTCGTTCACGCGTGGCTGGGTGGGCAGCGCTGGGTGGGCAGAGCTGGGTGGGCAGAGCCCCGCGGGAGCCTGAGCCAGGGGCGGGCACTTGGGGTCGGTTCCTCGAGCCCAGCCCGCGGCGCCGGGGCCGTCGGGGTCAGTGCGGGTCTGTCCCGTTTGTCCGGCTCTGTCTGTCGGTCTGTCCGGGGGCACCGACCGCCCCCCCCCCGCCCCGCCACACTCCGGGGCCGGGCTCCCTCTACCGACCGACCGGCTCAGCGCCGAGAGAGCGGGGCACGGACACACGGACACCACTGACCAGGGCACAGACACCTCTGACCAGGGCATGACACACGGACACCTCTGACCAGGGCATGGACACACGGACACCTCTGACCAGGGCATGGACACACAGACACCTCTGACCTGGGCATGGACACCCACTGCCCACTGGTATCGACACCCCTGCCCAGCAGCACTGCCAAGTCCGTTATGGATTTATTATCCAGATCAGCAGTGGGATGCTCTTACTTTCTATCAATGTCAAATGTCAAAGCAAAAAACTGTGGCTTCTCCCTTTTTCCCAGGGGCTGCGCCCCTAGAATTCTAACAAACATTTCAACCAGCGCTAAGCACCACCATGAGGAACAAGCTGAAAAAGTCTCAGCTGTTATCTCTGAGCTCTGTCAGATTTGTGTATCAAAAAGGGCTGGAGAGCACTTTCACACCAGGACAATTGTTAGTACTGTTTGTAATGCAGCAGTGACTTGAAGCACTGCTCATCTTGGTGACACAGACACCAAGCACTCAGACAGTCTCCTCTGGAACAGTTCCCCAGGGCAGGGTAACAGAGAGAAAACACATCAGGACAAAGGAGGAGGAGAGCAATGAGCAAACACCACCACTGTGATTCACTGTCAGTGTAATGGGGCAGGGAACACACCGAGCTCTCCTGTTTAATCTGTACTTTTATATTCTGAAATCCCAATTCAGAGTAAAGGACAAAGGTGTCAGAGTTGCATAAGAGCTTCCATCTTGCCCAGCCAGCATTTCCCCAGGGAGCCAGCATTTCCCCAGGGAGGAACCCACTCTCACATACCCAACTTGGCCATCAAGCCTTGAAGTATTGAAGGGGCTCAGAGAAGGCAGGAACCAAACACGTTGGGCCGAGTCAGCAGTTGTGTCTTCGTGTGCTCAGAGAAGATACTTGGAGAATCTTCACCAAATTGTGAACAGAATGAACAGAAAGTCGTTGGTGGCAAGAAGGACCCTTCTATTTCCACGATGCACACGGAGTTAGTGATCCACAAGTGGGATTGTTAGATATTACCACAATACCAAGGTCTAAAGCCGTGATCTAACTGTCTAGGCCATCCAGTCCCTGTTGATTCCTGATGCTAAAGAAGTTACCACACTAAGAGAAAGCAGGACTAGGAATATTCTTCACTGAGTAACCTTAATTTAAAGGCTTTAGTTAAGAATAACTTTTTAATAATATTCTTCAGAAACTACGTGTTGGTACCTTTGATAATATGGGGGAGAGACATCTATCCATTCCATCATTTTCAAACTGAAGATGTGTTTTATTAGAATGAAAACCCTTCCCACCATTCAGTCCTGTCTTAGAGAGGTTCTGACTATGACAAGGGAGAAGCACCAGACACCCAGTGATTTCCAGCAGGGATGTGGCAGTCGACCAGACTGTCATCAAAGACACTCAAATACAGTGGTGAGCAGCAGCAGGATCATTCCCTAGATGGATTTAGTGCAGTTGCAGACTTTTTTTTTTTTAATCCACTAAAATATAAAGGGCCAGATATACTCAAACATCACTTATGGAGTCCCTGGTTCTTTTAAAGAACCAAACTAATGCTTGCGGGATGTTTGGAAACTTCTCAGCTCTGGAAGCTGGGTGTTTTCACTCCCTCTTCTTTACCCCTTAGAACGAAAGGACAGCAGTAGCTGCTGTAGCTCATTTTAAGAGAGGTGCCATGTTCTCTTCCAAATGACTTTTTAATGCAAGTAAATCACTGGATCGTGCAACAGATTGTTTATGGGTGGAATTCATAAACGGAATTCCTGAAGCAGAGGGGACTACCAAAAAGACAGGAAGGATGGGCTTGTGGTTAAGACAGAAAACTCGGGACATCTGGGGTCTATTCCCAGATCTCCCACAGACTTCCTGTTGCCTTGGGCAAGTTGCTCAGTCTCTCTGTGCCTCAGTTTCTGTCTCTGCAATCCCCAGACGGTGAGCAACGGGAGTGGCAGCTCCTGCACTGAGATCCATGCCGGGACAGGAACCACCCCTCACTCCTGCAGGAACAACACAGCAAAACCTGCCCGTCCTTACATCCCCCAGACTCCTCGGAACTGAGGCGGGAGCAGGGGGAGCGATGGGAGCTGTCCTGTGGGATTAAGGTGGCAGTGCCTTCTGAGGTCTCTGCCTCCCCATGATGGACTGTGAGCGCTGCACATCTTAAAATCACATTAATCTTTCCCCCAGTAACTGTTTGTCTTGCTCCAGTTCCAAAGCCCTCTAGCTGGAGAAAGGAGAGGGGGAGAATATCTCCGAGGAAGGGCCCTAACACCACAGTGTTTTTCTCACTCTCTCCCTCTTCTCCTCCCCCTCTCCATTGGCTTCAAGGCCAACAGCTCCTGGAACACAAACACTCTTGTAAACTTCTGAACCACACAGCCCTATGGTGGGTGGGTGTTTGCTCCCTGCCTGCCAGTTCCAATCCACCCACAGATTCCAAAGGCCCCGAACAAAAAGCAGACTCCATTTTCCATATTTAACAGGCAATTCTCTTCCCTCCCCAGCGCCTTCCCTCGCAGAACTCGGTGCCTCTCCCCAGCACCGAGTCCCACCTTCCCCACCTTCCCCAGGCTGAGGGCGTTATTTGTGTGTGTGTTTACACAGACGTAGGAAAAGCATATTCCAAGTGGATTCCCCCCAGCCCTCCCTGGTTTTCAGAGCCTGCCTGCTCAGGAGGAGCTGGGGATTATCGAGGGCTGTGCTGCAGATTGCAGCTCTCTGACAGAACGTTTGGGAAGGGCCTATTGTGCAGGTTGTGAGGAGGGAAGGGGGAGCGTGGGTGCGAATGCCACGCGTCAGAATTCCTGCTGCAGCTCCCATCAGCCTGTACATTCCTTGGAGCAGCCACTATCCAGCTTCTCCATGGCTGTGGCACACACACTCGGTCCTGACTGTGGCTTTCTGGGACTGAACTAAACCATTCCTGCATGACCAGGATATTTCCTTCCCTCTTCTCCTTTAGAGATTATCATTTATCAAGGTCATCGTTTTCATCGATCAGCTCATTGACAGTGAAACTGGGGAATGCCAAACTATCCTGAATCTGTGGAATAAGGTTTCAAACTCTGTTGAAAAGGATCATCTGAGAGTCAGGTGATCTTTTTCAATCAAACATTTCACGCAGATTTCACTTACAGAAAATTATTTCACCAACGGGAACCAACTTATCTTTTTTGGCCATAACAAATTTCGAAAAGTTTCTTTTTCAAAAGACCATTCTTTTTTTGGTATGTATTTCTCTGAGATAGGTACTAAAATACGTGAATTTAAAACATCTAAAAAGTCACAAGAAAAAGAAATGTTATGAATCGGTCATACTTAAGATGAACCAAACAAAAATTTTCACTGTCTGAGGTCAGAAATGGACTAATGTCGACAAAAATATTCTTTTTTTTTTTTTCTAAACAGCACACCTTTCAGGGGCAAAGAGCTCCTGAGGTGGCTGGGACATGTCAGCAGTGACAGCCAGGCTGTATTTGATGGCTTTGGTTCAGCTAACTCCTTTTACTTTACTATATTCACCACTAAGAGATTCAGAATTCATCAATATTTTCTTAACCTTTTTCCCAATTCTTGGTTCTGTCCAGCCCAGCTCCACAATGTATCTTTTATATCTTTCCAAAGTACAGAACCTCCACGGTGAATATACATAACAGACCTGTGACCTGCTTCAAGCATGGCTTGGTCTCACCTAAAATTCACATTTAGTTTGCAGGAAATCATCAGGCATCCTAGAAAATACAGGGGGTGAGGGGCTGTTAAAAGCACATGAAAGAGCTCTCCATCTCCTGGAATTCTTTCGTCCCAGGTTGCCTGGTATGTTGCTCAGGGCTGCCCCTCCCTCCCACACACTCTGTACCTACATGTCCCAGTGGATGCTGCCAAACACCTCATTGGAAAAAAAAAATCAAAAAATCCTAT